ATCGTTTGTATTTATTTAGTATATTTAAGGGATAATTAATAAATGTGCATAAAAATATTTGATCTAAACAATTATATCAAGCTATTACTGCTATACCGCAAAACTTATCGTTATCATCATTGGTGATAGAAGACTTTTATTAACTGTTGGCAGTTATAGGAGGTTTGCTATCACTGTTGGTATTATAGGAGGTTTGTGGTGATTTGCTATACTATTAGTATTATAGGAGGTTTGCTGTAACTGTTGGTGTATAGGAGGTTTACTGTCACTGTTAATGTTATAGAATGTACTGTTGATGCTATAGAAGGTTTGCTACTACTGATAATTTCCGGGTTTTATCTGCTATTCTTCTCAGAAATACAGTATAAGCAAGGATGTATAGAAGGTTTACTGTCATAGAAGTGCTATAGGAGGTTTGCTACTACTGTTAATTTCTGAACAAAAAATAATATAAATATAATATGGGTATACTCCTGGAAAATATTTTATTAAAAGTATAACAAAGTAATTATTGTCATGCATGTATTTAATCACTAAATATTTAATATTATATAAATCACTCGCTATATATTTAATTGTTGGCTCACTCATATAAAACAAAAAAAAATAAATTTAAAATTTTCCACATTAAAAATCGTTGTGCTCGCTCGCTCACATAAAACCAAAAAATCAAATTAAACTTTTCACATAAAAAATCATTGTGCTTGCTCACATAAAACAAAAAAAGTAATTCAAACTTTTCATATTAAAATGATATTAAAACCTAAACGTGGCAAAAAACCAGGTCCTATTTGAGATTATTTTAAACGGGGAGACTTAATTAATTCAAAGCATTTTCAAGCAATATGTAGTTATTACCGTGATCCAATATTGGAAGTACCTGAAAGAATGCTTAACTATTTAAAAGAATCTTGTAAAAAAATTAGAAAAAAAGTACAAGATACTTTAGACAACATTAATATTAATAAAAAAAAACATGCCAAAAACAAGCGTGCTCCAGTTAATATTACTTCAGATGAAGAAGGCAATATTACTGATTCAAATCAAACCTCTCCATTAAATAATAATCAAACTTCCTCATTAAATAATAATCAACTAATTCATCAACAATTATTAATAGCTCTTATTTTTGCGAATGTTCCATTTACCTTTGTAGAAAATGAAGAGGTTAAAAAATTATTCAAAATGTTACAACCTTCATATACCTTACCATCACGAAGATGGATTAGTACAGAAATCTTAGATAATGTACATAACGAAGTAGAGATTGAAATTCAAAAGTTTATCGATGATTCTAAATTTTTAACTTTGTCAGGAGATGGATGGACAAACGTTTCAAAATGTAGTTTAGTTAATTTTATTTTTACAAATGAAAAATGGCAAAGTTAAATTTGGAAAATTTCTGATTTTCAAACCAACACCATACGGGTAATGTGATGTTTGATGCTTATAAAGAAGTAGGAATGTCGCTAGATGATAAGTAGGTTGGATTTGTGTCAGATAGTGGTTCAAATATAGCAAAGGCACGACGAATGATTGATAATGATTCTGAATTACAAGGAAAAATTATAACAATACCTTGTATAGCACATCAAACTAATTTATTAGTTAAAAAAATCATCAAATCCGAGCAATTCGAATCTGTAATCTCAAAAATGCTTCTTATAATTAATCATTTCCGTAATTCAAATCGGGCATTAGCTAAACTAAGAAAGTTAGAAAAAAATGAAAACTTAACTCCAAAATATCCTTGCATTACTAGATGGGCAACATTTTCAAAAACCACAGAGACTCTTTTATCAACTCGAAGTAGCATGCGAATTATAGCTATTACAGATTCAGATCTTTTAGCTATTAAAGGAAATAATCGTAATAAAATAATTAATACGATTGAAGATACAAGTTTTTGGACAAAACTTGATAAATTTTTCCATATATTAAAACCATATGACTATATAGTTAAAATTTTGGAATCTGATAAAGTAACACTTGGGCATATTTCAGTATGTTGGGCATGGCTTAGAAATATTATCGATGAATTACCTGATGATAGTAGTTTTTTAGACTTTAAAGACTTAATGTTGGATGAAATTGATAATCGATGGAAAAAAATTTATAATCCAATTTTCGTAATTACGTGGTTCTTACATCCATACTATTATGGTAAAGGAATAAGAGAGGAAAGACTTCTGCAATTACAAGAAGATGCATATAGCCTATTTTGTTTGTTATATCCAGAA